AATCAATTGCTACCTGAAATGAGCCTTGATGCCAACAAATCGGGTAAGCGAAGATGCAGTATTCCTCTCAAGAACTTTTTTTTTAAGGGCTAATGACACGGTTCTGCTTTTTTCACGCGCACGCTATGTTCCTAATTTCCTGAAGTGCTGTCAGTGCTGAGTGGATTAGTCTTAATAATGTTGCGCTCAAAAAGTGTTTGCGACTGGCATCAAAGTGCTTCAGCGTTGATGTGTGCAGTGCTGTTTTTGTCGAACATCCTGGCACTGTGACTCTTTTTCCATAAATACCATTTGCAAAATTCCAGTTTTCTCATTACTAGCTCAAGTAGCTCAGGGTTTCACTCAGCGTGCCCTTACTAGTCCATTAGATAAATCTGTAACTATAAACATTTGCAGAGTTGGAACCAAAACCCAACAAAAGCACACTTCATGCTTTTGCTTGGAGAGCCTTCCTCTCCGTGCTCGCAGTGGCAGTTCTGCACAAGTGACTGCAGAAGTCAGTCACTCGGGTGAAATGGCCTATTAGCGAAAGAAGAGTATTAATCTCAGAGTGGTGGACAGAACACGTTCACTTTTCTGACAGCGTATTAATATCTGGCGGGCCTTTAATCAGGACACAGTGTCAGAGGATTATTTTAAGACCTGTCAGAACCGCTGGGCCACTCCTCTCTGGATGAACCAAGATGAAAGACAGACTCTCCAACATCAGACAGAAAATGAGTTCATTACTGTAATTAGGCCTCTCTCCCATCTCGCCTTCGCCATTCCTTCCTCCTGTTCACCAGGCCTTTTGTCTTAAATGCCCATAATGGCGATGCATTACTCCACTTAGCGAAAGCAGACCTCTCACCCCTTTCCATCTGCTGTTTCACTTGTGTAGACCAAAACAAAAGAAAGGAGAGAAAGAGGACAGAAAACACCCTCCCAACAGGTCACACAGAAGCACGGATTCTGCTGACCAAGTCGCCTGTGGCACCCTCACTTGGTGGAGGAAGGTGGGGGTCGAGACATGGTGCGGGTCGTTAATCACTGTCAAATGGAAATTGGCTAAAAGAAGAAAGTAAAGAGAAACACAGACCACCATGTTCACTAGGTTATCCTGTCCAGGGCAGCTCACCCTGGCTTGACCCCAGGCAGCAACACAAACAAGGAGAGGCTGGATTTTATGAACTTAAATAGGCTAATCTGCTGTTTCAAGAGACTGGCTTGAAAGACAAAAACTCAGAATATATATTTTTTTCCTTTAAGTGTTTAAAAATGAGGTGTTGTCCTCTTATTTTTAGCCCCTCAACATTTTTAGATGTTCAAGTGCAGACGCGATGCTGCAAACAGCGCTAATAAACGTCAGGCTTTGATTGTTCTTTGCTCTGTCTTTGTTGACAGGATTTCTGTCTGTTTCTCTCTCAGACTACAGTGAGAAGTCAGTCATGCTGTTTTGTTGTCATGCACTGACATTACAGTATGTCAGTTTCTTTGTTCCTCCTGTCCTCAGTCATCCGTTAAAAGCGTCTATTGGAGTGTCACCACTGATAAAGCTGTTTGTGCAGGTGGCACATTTTGCTGTCACTCGCTCTAATTGCGAGTGTGAAAAAACAGTGTTCAGTCGACGTCTGGGTGTCGGTCAGGAGACTGCTTCCTGTCATGCCTTTAAAGGAGACTTGGTATTAAATTTGGTTGACCAGGAAAAATCTAAAATGGCTGTCTCGCTGCAGGAAAAGAAATATGGGAATAGCTACTTAATATTTTTTTCCCCCCCGAGGTTCCATGTTTGTTTTGGCTAGGGGATATCTCCCATGTTGTCTTGAGATAATGGATGTTTAGTGTTGCAAAGCAGTGGATATCTCTTAAGTATTGGCTTACAATTCACAAAGACTTTAGGGATAAAGTTAGCCTTTAAACAGACTGCTCTAGATCTACACATGTAGGCTGCATCCAAGATTGCATGCTAACATGCTATTCAGTACAAAGAGTGTGATGTAGGAGTGAAACCTAACTACGAGCAACAGTAACAGTGGTATGTGCAACGCATACCTTTTCCAGGCTTTGTTATTGTCACTACACTGCAGGCAGACGTGCATTTCATTATTCATTTCCAGCAGAATATTGTAGTATGCAAGCAGACGACGCCAAATAAGAAAAAATATAAGTGAAAGGGAAATGTGGTAGTCGTATGCATAACCCTTGGTGGTGGAGTGTGCCCAAGGACATTTAATAACCCCCAGTTAAAGTGTAAAAATAAGGTTTTAGTTTGCTAGATGTAATATCCTTTTTAGCGTATATTCATTGTTACCTACTTTCCCTTAAATGAGGTTTGGGGGTTATTATAATGTCTCAAACTGACAACACAGCCCTCAGGAAGTGAGGGTTTACGTGCTGAGCAGCATCACAGCAAAGCACATGATGCTGAGTGCAAGAGGAATATACAGGAATGACTCTTAAACTCAGAAATGACTTGCTATTTTGCACTTGACATTGGTAAGCCTTTTGAATGAGTGTTTAGTTAAATGCCTGAAGGGGGAAAAAAAGGGATGTGGTTAAGAAATGCCTTTGACACCGTCACATTTTGTTCTAAAACATAAAATATGCAAGTAAAGCTTTTTACATCTCTCTGAGATGTTTGTTTGCTAACGAGACTGCAGAAAATTGCCTGAGACATTCAGCAGCTTTGGAGGCTCAGTGATGGGGAAGATGAAGTCATTAAATTGTGATGTAGTTCATTTATAAGATAGCATTAGCATTTTACTTCCGGCAATGGCATTTATGTTTCAAAAAATCATAAAAGTTGCATTAATTGGAGATTATGTTGCTGAACAAAATCCAGTATCACAAACTTTTTATTACCCATGAGTCGTTTTTTCCCTGCAGTAATCCATAAAAGCCTATTAAGAAATCCCATTGGCTGTTTGTCAAGGAAACCAGGGTGATGCAAACTTCCGTGTTGGCCTACAGAAAAATTCCTGCAGGATCACATGGAAGTACTGCTATGCACCTTGATCTACAATGTCTTTGTACATGTGTATGGGAGACTTCCTAATTATAGCTCGGGATTTATTGTAGAAATAATAAAGTCGTATTTGCTACAAGATCTGCAGCTTTGGCTCTTTGAAGACGGGCGTTGTCTGTGATTAAAAATAAGTGGCTTTGTTATTGTTCACCACACGGCAGTCAGACACATACTTCATTATTCATCATTTGCCATTTGTAACGGACAAACATATTTCCCACAGCAGTTCTCTTCACTACATTATACATGACGCAACACAATTTCTTGCCTTCATCTTTAAGCCCCTTGTTAAATATAGTGACACGACATGCATTTTCCTGCTCCTGTTAATAAAGCCGTTCTCATAACAACTCAAGCCCCCGATGGGAGAGGGAGGGCTGCACATAGTTTGGCTGTTGTTGTAACTGAGAAGTCGTCATTACCAGCCTGTTCCTACACATTTAGGTCATGCATGCATTAACCTGTATTCGGCCCAGGCAGAAGTGAATACTTTATTATTAAAATGTTTCCAACTCGTCCCAAGTGTATTTGGTCTAGTCTGGCTTGCAGCTAATCTTGATGTGGCCCACATTCTCTTCCTAAAATAGTTTAGCCCCCCTCCTTAGCAGTAAATGACAGAGAAATGTAAACAGTTGTCTGGAAGCTGTAGCGATCATATTAAAAGCGGATGGAACTGAGACAAAGACTAGGACCTTGGGCCCATATACCATCATTTATCATGTTCACAGTGAAGCCTTTCAAAGAAAGACGCTTTAACGGAGCTTCCCATCTTCGCTGAAGTGACTACTGGGGATTTGGTCCATGTTCTCTTTGATGGCAAGGGTTTTACTTGATAACTCAAGGGGTTTTCACATGATTGCAGTACCAGGAGAAATGAAGCACAGCACTGGCCCCAAAGAACAAGAAAAACGCATTTGGGTCAATGTAGAAAGCCTTGCAGTCTCTACTGCTGTTTAGTGTGATCTACAATGCAGAAGTCGGTGACAGTAAAGAGATGAATCCAGTATAACACCTCCGTCACCTACCCCCCTCCTCTGGAGCTACAACACACCACACAGCATGAGATTGATGAGAGAAACTTGCTTGTTTCTTCTTGGAGTTTCATGAGTATCTTTATTACTTTGTCCCAACCCATACCTGCTTTTAAAAGTCTGATAGTCGATGTTCTGCAGCATTATTTACAGATTAAGTGGAAGCCACGTGTTTGTATATTTTTAACATCCCAAATACCCAGTGGCTTCACTCTCCTTCTCTCCGTCCTTGAATGTTCAGTCTGCTGAATGTGATATGAGCTTTTTCTTCCCTAACAGAATTAGCATAGGCCAAACTTTACCCTCTGAAGTTGTGGCAGTGCTGCAGTAGACTGACTATATATATATATATATATATATATTAGTCTTACACTTCTACTCTGTTTTTTTGTTTGTTTGTTTTTGTCACAGCCAGTTTACCTCATCAAGTCCTTGTTAATTTTCCTACTAACCAGATCAGATAAAAAGGCAAAGTGGAGCTGGTGTTGAATATGCATCAGTTCTCCAACTATCCCTCCTGTATAATTTGCCGGCTTGATGATGCTGCAAGCCGTTGGATCAGATACTGGTACATGCGAACGTTTAGTTCAACATCTGCCTCTTGTTGCTGTAATTTGCTTCACCGCCATCTGCTAGACATAGGCTAGAAGCACCATCCATGATATACATCTATCTAGTTATAAACCTATAATGGCACTCTACTCCCAAAGATGCAAATTACTCGTACTCTGCGATAAGCTCGGCGTAGTTCCAAACCTGAAAGATCCCAGCGTAGCCCGTGGTGAGAGTTTATTACAAAGATAACTAGGTACAGACAATTTGGGTCAGCAGTTTTTCTTTTTAGCTTAGCTGATTGTGCCATATTTTGGAGTCCTGCTGAGAAATAAAAATGTCTTTTCAAAGCCTTTCAACCTGCTCGCAGTGCGTTAAATATTTTTTCTTTCTTCTGTGTTTCTGTGCTATAGATCTACCACCTCCAGCTGTCGTTATTCATTGGCGACACGCTGTGAGAGAAGGCTCCGCTCTGCTGTGCTACGGCGCGCCCCAGTCACTCGTCCTTGACGCCCAAATGCTGTGTGCCAATTGTCATGCCACCCATCCTCTGTGAGTTATGACGGCCGCTTCGTTGACTCAGGAAAAAGGCTGCTCCTTGGCTCACCAGTGAGCAAGTCGCATGATGAAGGAGGGTCCTGGAAGTCTGCTCTTCAAGGAATCTGCCAGCAGGATATGAGTATTTTGAGCCCTGTGACAGCTAACAAATCTAACCTTGTGGGAATTGTGGGAGGCCCAGAAGAATACTCCAGAGTCATGCAGTCAGAGGAGCTATTCAGCAGGAAGCTCAAAGCCTTGAGCGATAGCATGGGACCTCCAGCCTCCAGCATGCAGGGGAAACCTGATGGTGCAGGCAAAACAAATGGTACTCCGGCAATGCCTAAAATGGGTGTCAGGGCCAGGGTCACAGAATGGCCGCCAAGAAAAGACGGATGGGACGGGCGGCCTTCGCCTAACTATCAGAGTGTGATACCCGTGTTTCAGAACGGCCAGCAGGAACACACTGTGGAAATACTAGACCAAGGTGAAGCAGTCTGTCTGGAGGTGGACTACACTGACAAGTACACGCTGAGTGACTTTCTCTGCCACTCTCCGCTGAAGGGTCTGCACCCTATCCGTCAGCGGAGCAACAGTGACGTTACCATAAGTGACATCGACTCTGAAGACGTAATGGACCAGAATGCCGTCAACCCAAACACTGGAGCCTCGCTGCACCGCGAGTACGGCAGCACATCCTCCATTGACCGCCAGGGCTTGACTGGGGATGGCTTCTTCACCATGCTTAAGGGCTACCGAGTTGAAACCCTGGACCACCGCAGTATACCCCCTCTGGGTTTCCCTGAGTTGCTGCGCTGTGATGCCTCGCTGTCCCCCAGCTTGCAGACAGCAGCACAAATTGCAAGGGGTGAGATAGTCCACATTCCAGGCTATGACTACATAGACAGCTCCCTACTCTACAGCCGGGAACGGGAGAAGTCCTTCATGAGACGTCTTAAATCGGAGTCGTCAGAAACATCACTGTTCAGGAAACTTCGGCCCATAAAGAGTGAAAGTGACGCACTGCGGCTCTCAATCGAGGACGACCGGCGACCGCTCAGCTTCCAAAAATGCTTCGCCCACTACGATGTGCAGAGTGTGCTTTTTAACATCAGCGAGGCGGTGGCGAGCAGAGCTAACTTGAGCCAGAGGAAAAACACTACTACCGGTGCCTCAGCCGCCTCAGCTGGAGCTGGAGCTGGTGGAGTGTCCATAGTTGGAGGCGGTGCTGGACCTGGAGCAGGAGCCGATGGTGGAGCAGCAGGATGCAACAGTGCAAATACCCCCATGTTTGAGTCTCCACTGGGCAGCAGAGAGGACTTGAACCCAAAGGAGAACCTGGATGCAGACGAGGGGGATGGGAAGAGCAACAGCTTGGTGCTGAGTTGCCCGCACTTTCGCAATGAGATTGGTGGCGAGAGCGAGAGGAAGATCTCCCTCTCCAGAGCCAACAGTGTCAACTACAGCGGTTTGTCAGAGAGCTGCTCTTTCGAGTCGTCCCTAAGTTCACACTGCACCAACGCAGGAGTTTCTGTGTTGGAGGTGCCTCGAGAAAACCAGCCAATCCACAGGGAAAAGGTCAAACGCTACATCATCGAGCACATTGACCTTGGAGCATACTACTACCACAAATTCTTCTACGGGAGAGGTAAGGATTGCTGATAAGGAGCGGATTTCTGTTTTTACAGATAGTTAAAAGTGATGATGCAGCAGGATTTGTGTGACTCACTGTTAAGGACTATTAAACTTTCCAGGCCAGCTACATTTTTTTATAAAGTGAGACTTCTTCAGTCACCTGTGGGGAAGCTAGTTCCCAGATGGAACAGCCTCATCTCACAGGGTCAAATATCTCAACGTCCCAGTTGTTTTTTGTACAAGCACATGAAATAAAGTCCAGAACAATAGCAGGCTTGTGTTGGGTGCGAGGGCGTGTGTTTCACTTCCTCAGCAGAGGAGCGGTCATGTCCTCCCTCTGATATTACTCCGAACCCTGCGGAGAAACTGCGATTAGTCATGTGAAAAAGAGAGAGGTGAGTGAGAGGGTGTACTGCAGCTGTTCCCTGCAGGGACTAAGAGAGTACGAGGTCTCCTCATATGAAACTTTAGGGTCAGCAGAACTACGCCAAGGTCCCAGTTCTCCTCATTAAAACACCTACGAGACGAATGCTGGAAATGCCGTGCTGACCCCGACCCATCGCCGCATTATACATATCTGTTTTTCCCACTTCTCTGTGCAATCTGTGCTCGCTGCTCTCAGCAGATAGAGTTACCCCGTCTTAAGCCTGCCCCCACCATAGAAAACAGCTGCTTCACCTTTCACACTCTGAGATGCCTTAACCTCTTCAAAATGACACTCTGAATAAAAATCTGTCTCTGAGAGACATGTTGATAATTGCCCAAATGCCTTGCTAATACTCACACCAAAGCTGGGTTCTGGATTTGGGTTGTGCATTTATTTAGCCTGCATTCACAGCAATGCAGGCCTGTGTATAACAGGGCAGTTTCATGAAGACATTAGCCTTTAGGGTAGGATGCCTCTTTCACAGTATGGAAATGTAGCCACTGCCTTTTTTTATTTTTTATTTTTTTAAATAAGGTGTTTTATTGACTAGACAGGTCTGTCATCACCTGCGCTTCACAGCAAAGACACACTCACACAAACATGACTACGTGTCACTATTTCTCAGCAGGGTTTCATCAACCTGGACTGAACATTGATCCAATTGATTGCCTAAAGCCCTGCTTCCCTTAGCAACCGGAGTGGTTTTTCCCCTAATGGACACAATGCTTCCTTCACACAAAATGGGTCAACCTTCACTATGTATAGGTCATGGTCACATTAGGTGTTTGGGTTGACACCGAGGTGTGCAGAGGGCAATGTAAACCATCTCTTACTGAGATGCAAGGCCTGAAATTAAGCTTGGAGCACTAAATGTACAGAAGAAGGGGCTCACAGTGTTGGACTTTCAAAGATTTTTTTTAAGGTGTTTCTGTGGTGTGGATTAACAGCAAAATGAGAAGGGGGCATTATTTGACATGAAAAATCAAAGTCTTCCAATTTGCAATCTTTTGCAAATTGTCAGCACCATGTGATGGTCATCGCTGACATGCTAAAGAAATGTGTTGACAATAAGCTTTCCCCTAAAGTCAGCACTGTCTGACTCACTGTGCTCCTGGTATTTGGATGCCTTGTGGCCTCCATTGCTACACAGGCCCCCCACCACCACCATTTGACCTTATGCCTTACAGAGCATTTCCCCGCAGAACTCTGTCCCTGACAAGCTGTGCATTCGTCAGACAGTTAACCCTACTTTCCCTCCATACAGATAATTTATTATTAATGCCGATGTGCGTTTTGCTCCACTGTTTATGCCACAGTGACAAGAACCATGCTATTTAACACAGCTTGCACTGCATGGCGTGGATGTAATATCGAAAACTTCTGCAGAAATCTCTTCGTGAATGTCACTGCTTTGTGGACCCTGCTGAGGTTTTTCTTTTAGCTGTTGAATCCAGGTCTTTCTCCTCAGCTTTAGCCTGGATTAAGGGAGTGTTTGCTCAAGGCCTTCTTATATGTGTGCCTACACACACACACACACACACACACACACACACACACACACACACACACACACACACACACGTACGCACGCATGCATTGTGTGTCAACAAAGAAATTAGTAC